CTAGCGATGCGGAACAGTGCAGCGGGGAGGCGAAGGAAACGGGGTGGGGGGGGGGGGGGGGGGGGGGAGGGGGAGAAAGAGGAGAAGAAAAGGTGGATGCACTGGTTTGTGTCATAGTGGGTATGAAGAAATGGACATGATTGTTGGAAGTTAATCATCTCAGCTCCATGTCATCCTTGCCGGCGCTCCTTGGAGTAGTTTTCTCTATTATATTCAGACACTCTTTACGTATGACTGAACACTTTTTTTAAAACCCTATCACCAAACCACCCATGGTATTTTCTTATCCATCTATTAACCACCTCCTCAGAGAATTGGATCTTTGGCTCAATGATCAATCAGCTGATTGATCCATGACCTACCTTCTATCATAAGGTCAGAAGTGGGGATGTTCGCTAATGATTGCGCAAGATTCAGTATTATTTGAGACTCCTCACATCCTGATAACGATAATAAAGACAAAAACTGTGGAAGCTGGAAATCCGAAATAAAAAGAGAAAGTCCTGGAGAAACTCAGCAAGTCTGTGGGAAGAAAAATCAAGTTAACGTTTTTAGTCCAATATGACTTTTCTGCAGAACTTATTCCTCACGTACTGAGGTCATCTACATCTAAATACAGTTAGACTTGGACACCGTTCAGGCTTGGTCTGACAAGTGGGATATTCACATCACACAAGTGAGGCAATGACTATCTCTAAAAGAGAATCTAACCATTACCCCTTGACAATCAGTTACATTACCATTGCTGAACCCCTAGTTATCAACACTCTGGGTGGGGGTTACCATTGACCAGAAATCGAACTGGACAAACCATAAATAAAGGTAAAAGGTAAAGTTGGCATAGTCCCATAGGACTGCTCTGCCATGAGATATGAAGGGTGGCGGTTTAATTTCAGGGTCACTATGCCTCAGGTGAAGGGCAAGGCTGAGAAGGCAGATCCTTCATAGTGACCTCAACTGGTGCAGAAATTGAACCCGTGCTATTGGCATCACAAACCGGCCATCCAACCAACCGACCTAACTGACCCCCTAAGCCATTGAAGTAGGAGAATGAGGATATTTGGTGGTTGCTGGGGAATCCTCTCAGGTGGGGGCCAAGGTCCTCCATTGAAGCAGTGGAGAGGGGTTGGGCAACATTGGAGTGAAGAGGGAGGACAGGGAGAGGAATGGTCTTTTGGGCAGAGGTGCGTGTGGGGTGTTGTGCGGGACGTTTCAGCTGAGTGGTGTTGCTTCGGGTATCAGGGCCTTGGAACGAGATGTTTGGGGTGATTGGCTTCCTGCATTGCTAAAGACATGCCACCCCAACCACAGAAGCATAATTAGTTGCCAATTGATACGAGTAAGCAGGACAGAACGCTAGCAGACCACAGAATGTTTGAGAACAAAGATCAAGAGATAAAGGAGTGACCAAGTAAGTGAATGGGCACCATGTTCTTGAATCTGATTAAGAATATCTAATGTATGGCAATTTGATGAAATTAGCCACATAATAGATTTGATGTAATTAACCACATAATTAATGGTTTGCTTGTAGACTCATGTGATTTCAAAGTAAAAGAAGTGTGTAAAAGGTAGTAACAAAAACAGAAGTTGCTGGAAAAGCTCAGCAGATCTGGCAGCATCTGTGAAGGAAAAAAAAAATCAGTTAACGTTTCAGGTCTGGTGACCCTTCCTCTGTAAAGGTAGTGTTGCACAGGTGTTCTGCAAAGTGAGCTCCATTGCTCTGCATGACGATCTGGAATTCCACTCTTTGCTGTAAATCAATTGCCGCTCGAATATAGCACTGTTCCTGCTGAATTCCTGACACTGTCTTCTTGCCCTAGGTCACTCCTACATCATATAAATACACAGTGCCTCAACAGCAGGTCAGAGGCTAGGAATCCTGCTGTAGCTCACATCTTGATTCCCCCAGAGTCCTCCGTCTATAAAAGGCACTAGCCAGTAACGTGATGGAATATTCCCCACTTGCCATGATGAGTGCAGCTCTCAACCACCCAGATGCTTTACACCATCTGGGACAAAGCAGCCCTCTTAATTGGTACAGGTAGTTCTGCTATAATAAATGTTTCATTAACACAAATTGGCTGTAACATGATTGATGAATAGTGGATGCTGTTTGGATAATGCAAACTTTCTGCTGTACAGGTATAGCAATTTCCCTAATAACCTGATTTTCTATGGTGCTTTTCTATAGTGCAAGGTCACACAAGAAAGCAACTATTGCTTTTTAGGAGAACTACCTGTATCACATCCATAAACATTCACACCCTCCACCACCGATGGTCAGTAGCCTATACTACCTACAAGATGCACTGCAGAAATTCAACAAGGCTCCAATGACAACACTTCCCAAATACTTCATGGCCACTACCATCTGGAAGAACAACAGTGGCAGATATGTGGGAACACCAACACCTATAAATTTCCCTCCAAGCCACTCACCATCCTGACTTGGAAATAGATCCTGTTCCTTTAATGTCACCAGGCCAAAATCCTGGAACTCACTCCTAAGTTGTATTGTGGATGTACCTCCAGCAAATAGACTGCAGCCATTCAAGGAAGCAACTCACCACCATCTTCACAAAAGCAACAAAGGAATGGGCAATAAGTGCTGATCCTAGCTACTGTCACCCATCTCCTGTGAGTGAATACACAAAATATTAGCAACAGGAAACAAACAGAAAACGCTGGAAGTGGCAAGTCATTACAATCTCTGGAGAGAGAGACATTGCAGGTTGATGAATTTTCAGTCAGAAAAGTCACAGTTGAAACATGTGCATCCTTTTCGAAGCAAAGGAATAAACCATTTATTTTCTTTCCAGCAAAGACACCGCTAAGGAAATACTTCACCAAGAAGCCACACACACAGACCAGGTACTGAACTTCAACAGTAACCATCACAGCACACACAAACAAAGCTGCATACAAACACTATTTAAAAACAGCAACAACACATTACTGCACCAAGAGGAAGAAGAATACCTCTTCCAGATTTGCAAGGATAATGGATATCCAAAGAACTAGGTCAGAATATGCCTACATGACCAACATCAGAAAGATACTACACACATCACACTACCCTACATCAGAACTCACCACAAGACTCCTATGACCGCTAGGCAGAGTGGCACACAAGCCCACATCAACCCTACAACAACAGCTCACCCAAACTAAAGACCCACTCCCCACCATGGACAGGACCAATGTCATCTACAAGATCCCCTGCAGAGACTGTGACAAACACTACATGGGACAAACAGGAAGGAAACTAACAAGAGTACATGAACACCAACTGGCTACAAAAAGACACGACCAATACTCACTCATCTCATCCACCTGGACAAGGAGAACCACGACTTCGACTGGGACAACACCAAGATCCTGGGACAGGCTAGGCAGGGACAGGCAACGGGAATTCCTAGAAGCCTAGCACTCCACAAAGCATGCTATTAATAAACACATTGAACTCGACCCCATATACACTCCACTACCAAGGAAAACCGGGAATGAGGCAACCCATCTCAACGGACCCCAGAGTTTCAAAACCAGGCGGGAAAACACACCGACGCTTCATCGGAGGCTGCACTGAGGGTGTTATCCAGCATAATGACGAAACATCTGCGAAACAAGAAACCAGCTCGGCAAGCCTCAGAAATACTTCACTCGCGGGGAATCGAACCTCTAACTGCAGCCGCTCCCTCGACGGTTGATCACGAGCCGTTTGGCACCATGTGACCGAGAAATGCAGGCAGGTGGTGACAAAGGCGCGCATGCGGACACGTTTCAATCAACGCACGGCGTAAGCACATCATCCGAGGCCGGCGCTACACGCGCGCGTCAGCGAGCGCGGCCCTTTAAGGGAAAGGAGGTGTGCGCATGCGCAGCCGTCGCGGCTCGGCGTTGTTTCCTCCTCTTCCTCCGCCGTGCAGGTAGGGTGTGTGACGTCAGCCATTGACAGGTGAAGCGATCACCGCCGCCCACTGAGGAAAATCGGGCGGAAAGATGGCTGCAGCTGGGCGGCTGGGACCAGGACCAGGAGGTGCAAAGCGGGCCTCCCCCCTCGTGGCGTTCTACATCTCTGCCTCTTTCCTCATTCGTGGCGTACAGACTGTACCGGAGCCCGGTCTCTGGAGCCGGACGGTGGGGCCGGTGAGTGTGTTGACGCCTCATGGTTATCTTGGCCCGCGGAGGTGGGTGTCTTCACGCTGGACGATGGCGTGACCGCTGATATGGGCTTTTCCTCCCTCAGGCGGTCCGCCCTGCGTTGCAGACTCGTGGAGATAAGCTAGGGATGCTGCGGTCGGTTTCTCTGGGGTTGTTTGTGGTCGCAAGCTGCTGTGTGAGTTAAGGAGTGGGGCTGCAGCTCAGTCGTAACATCAGGTCAATGTTATTCTAATCGTTTAAATCGCGCATTTCCATATTTATTCGTATAAAATAGATCTCCCTAAGTGGAGCTGTTTCTCAAGGTAAGAACCACGACGGAAAACTACCCATGCCTTCAGGCCTGCGAGACATCACCTGAAACAGTCCCACTTGAACAGTGACGATCCCTCAGCTGGTGCGGCCATACACACTTGTGGATTCTCATTTCAAACAAGAAGTTTTCATCGGTCATCCAAGACCTGTGTGCAAAATGTAATGATCTAGCTGATTTACTTCGAAACTTTTTAAAAGTAATTGATTGGATAGAGGGGCCAAAACGTCAACTTTCCTGCTCCTCTGATGCTGCCTGGCCTGTTGTGTTCATCCAGATCCACACTGTTGTCATTGATTGGATAGACTTTGTTTTGAAGGGCGGAGGCTAAAGTGAAATTTTAAAATTATATGGACTTGAGGTTTAGTTAATATGAAATACCTGTTTCCCTGAGCAAAGGGATTCATATCAAGGGGCAGGGCAGAAATTTAGTTTAAAAAAAAAATTTAGGATGCTAGCGATCTGATTCAGAAATGGGGAACTATTGGAGAAGCTCAGGAGCTCTGAAAACAAAAGCGGAGTTAACATTTTGCATTCAGTGACTTTTTCAGAACACAGATTTAAAGTAATAGAATAAGTTTTTTTTTATTGAACAGATCTGATTTATTGTTGTCACATACATCAAGAAACAGTGAGAAGTATTGTTTAGCGTATCTGTACAGGTTTGGCGTTCTGTATCTGCAGTGTGGAACTATGTTCTTGTAGGGAGGCTGTCTGTCACTGTAGAGCGACTATCTGCAAGTTGACTGCATTGTTCTGTGCTTTGAGCTGTTTGAGCTGGTCCTTCAGCAGCTCCTTCTCCGCCTGCAATGCAGCATTGTTCCTCTCCACCTCGATAATGTTATCCTTTACTTTCAAATCGTACCATGCAAAGTGCATCAGGGTAGCAGAACAGAGTGCCGAATACTGAGTTAAAGGTGCAGAGAGAGAGATCGGAATTAACGTGAGAGGAACGATTAGAAGGGAGTTGTGGAATTTTTGCTGTTAAAGCCGACATGGAAGGCACATGTTAGGTGTCTGAAACTCAGAGAATCTTTTATAGTGAGAAAAGAGGCCATTTGGTTCTTCAGGTCCCACATTTACCATGACGAACCCACCTAGTCTAAACATCCCTGGCAACTGCGAATAATTTGGCATCGCCAATCCACCAAACCTGCACATCTTTGGACTGTGGGTGGAAACCAGAAATTCAGAGAGAATGTGCAAACTTCACACAAGCAGTCACCCAAGGCCGGAATTGTGAGGCAGCAGTGTTAACCACTGAGCCACTATGCTGGCATTCTGTCTTAACCACCCTTTCAAATAGCAACTTGTGGGAGCAGAAATCCTCATCACATTTGAGTAATATTCTAAAATGCACTCTGCCATCATTTACACTGATATTGATATTAGGAGCTGGCATGGAGAAAGAGCTGGAGAGTGGATTTAAGCTGGGTTAATATATTTGGCCAGCACTCGAGTTCAGGCTGGGGCAAATGGCCTTCCCCTGCACTGTAAATTTCTCTGATTCTGTATTGTATTTTATTGTTCAACCTGTCCCTTCACCCGAGGCCTGGTGACCCTCTGGTTAAACCACTGCCAGTTGTCTCTCTAATGAGAGAGCAGCCCTCTGGCCAGTAGGACTGTGACAACTTTGGTTTTATATTCAGTGGAAATGTATTGATTTTGTTGAGTTTAGTTTCAGTAATGTACTAGACTTTACTTTTGGCGAACAGTTGAAAATTATGTGGAGCTTTCTCTTGCATGAAATTATAATTGAACATCCGCAGTAATTGTCTTGGGTTAAGTAATAGTCATGCTAAATAACTGAATTGTTTCACCTGGTCTATTTGTATAGTGGATAGCGTATCGTACTGCACAGAAAGTGGCTATTTGACCCATCATGTCTGTGGTGGTTCTTTAACAGAACTGAAAATGTCATTTCTCTGCCCTATCCCTGTAGTCCTGTACAAATTTCCTTTTTAAATATTTATCCAGTTCCCTTTTCAATACTAACTTTCATATCTTTTGTATACATTTCTCTGTATTCATCTGTTGACAAAGTGGACAATGAAGAATAACATTCTCCTGAGTACAGATTTTGTCTGTCTGGCTATATAGGTATGTACTACTCGTCTGAAGAAACAAAATTTAAGTCTAAAATCATATTCCATTTGATTTTAATGCAATTCAATATCTGACACACCAGCTCTTGGTGTCCTGATTTCGTATTTAGCTATAAGTGCAATTAAGGATGAGCAATGCCCAAGTTCTATGAATGAATTAAATAAAACTGAAGATGGTGAAAGTGAAAGCAGCCATTTTCAAATTCCTAGCACCTATAAAATTCAAACACAACAACCAAATACACACATTGCTTTGTGAGTCGATTGCTCGTGCCAACGGATTGGACAGTTGATACACTTGACATAGTAAGATGAATCAAATGTCAGTGGACTTGAATCATTAATAATATTGAATTTAAAAGTTTCCAGCTCTGAAGGTGATAAATGGGCCTACAATATCTACTTAAATTCCAAGTAGTTCCAACAACAATCACTTTCTTTCTGCAACAACTCTGATTCTAATATCTTCCTTAGTTTGTTGATCATTATAATTTAATGACACTTCATGAGCTTCCCAAACAAAGGAAATAGTTTTTTCTCATGACGTCAAAATTATTTATTCATTTTATAATCTCTTTTCAATCCTGCTTTTTTCTTTACACCACTGGAAATAGTCCCTGTATCTTGAGGCTCTACTTGCAGTACTTTCCCATTCAACTTAATGTACACTGTGGCTTTAATATCCTTTTTACTTCCACTTTTCTACATTGATCTACTACTGTCTAAGCCAATTTGAAATATTTTGGAAGTGAGGTCCAAATAACTAATATTCCTTATATAGAAAATTTTCCTGAGTGGCCTAGCTCTGATTTGATGATTGAGTCCTCTAGTTCTCGACTTCTTCCAGAATAAATAATTTCTGTCTATACTACCAAATCATTTTTAGCATTTGAAATTCCTGAATCAATTTGCCCATTGGCTTCCTATGCTCAAAGGAGTACAAGCCAAGTTTGTTCAACCTGTCCTCAGGAATCAAACCTTGAAGCCATGCTGTTTCACCTAAGAGGCTAACAAATTATTTCTGAGATACAGTAGTCAAAACTCCAGTTGGCTTCAATCCAAGTTTCGATTATAGGCATAATTTTACTGCTCTTAACTCAGTCTTCTTTCTCCAGTACTCAATCAGCACTTTTGTACCTTGGATCTGAATTTTATTTGGTGAACTGAGCTACAAAATCTTTGCTCATCTACAGCTCCCTAGACTTTGGATAATTCAAAACTGTTGCCTATTGCCTATAACCTATTCCCTGGCTAGTCTAAGAATAAGAGGTAAGACATTCAGTACTGAGATGAAGAAGAATTTCTTCACTCTGAGTTGTGAACCTGTGGAATTCTCTCCCACAGAAAACTGTTGGGGCCAGTTCATTAGATATATTCAAGAGGGAGCAGGATGTGGCCCTTGCGGCTCAAGGGAGCAAAGGGTATGGAGAGAAAGTGGGAATGGGATACTGAAATTGTAGGATCAGCCATGATCTTATTGAATGGTGGTGCAGTCTCGAGCTAAATGGCCCACACTTGGGCCTTTTTTTTTGTTTGTAAGTCCTTCTCATTGATAATCCTGCACTCATTGAAATACAGTGGCTTAAATACCTCAGCACCTCCAATTTGAAATGCAACCTCATATTTAAGTCTTTCATATTTGGGAGTGGGTGGGGCTCAGGAGAAATCAAGACCATTTCAAAAACGGGTAACAGGACAGAGAGTAAAGAAACAGTTAGGAATTCTACTTCAAGTACTGCAGGTAATGACCAGACTATAAAATGACTCTGTATGTGAATGAACTGCCAGAGGAAGTGGTGGATGCAGGTACACTCAACATTTTAAAAGACATTGGTATAAGTAGATGAATAGGAAAGGTTTGGAGGGATATGCGCCAAAAGCAGGCAAATGGCACTAGTTTGGTTGGTGTGGACTAGTTGGATCAAAAGGTCCATTTCCATGCTGTATGACTCTGACACTAAGTATATTAATTAGGTTCAGAAATAATAAACAGTTGAATAGAGCATCAGTACTGAAGGACAGCCTAGTATGTATGGCCCAAATGTTTCGACATACAAATGCATGAACGTAAGGAATAAATTGAATGAGCTACAGGTACATTCAAATTAAGGATTATGATATAGTAGCCATTACTGAGTCATGGCTGCAGGGTGGTTGTGACTGTGAACCAAATATTCTAGATTATAAGGTTCACGGGACAGATAGGGAAAATGGCAGCGGGGATGGAGTAGCCTTATCGGTTGGAAAGAAAATCACTTCAATGAAGAGGGAGATTATAATGAGAGGAAAGCATCCAGTGGAGACTATATGGGTGGAACTGAAGCACAGTAAAGGATCTCAAACTATAATAGGTGCTGTGTATTGACCCATTCGTAACAACTCCTGAAGTGCTAGATTGTATAAATGCAAAAATTAGGCAAAAATGCAGCAGAGGCAGAGTTAAAGGGAGAATTTTATCTTGAACATAGATTGAGAGAAACAGACAAGCACCTGCCAGAAATTCACTTACTTTCTGACATGTGTCCGGATAGTTTCTACAGCAATATGCCCCCGATGCAACAAGGGGACAA